CAACTTAAACTTTTGAATTGATAGATTTTATTTTTCAAGTTCCGAATTTATAGTTGACTCATCTTTCGATTTTTAAGATGATAGAAACTAAAGTTTTAAATCAATAGCTTTAAATATTCCAGGTCCTAAATTGATAGAATTTATCTTTTGAGTCCCAAATTAGTAGTTGATCCATCTTTTGGGATCCAAAATGATCAAACTCTATAAATTTGATATAAATAAGCTATCAGCTCCTTCATTATTTCTTGAGGTTTATCAAAAATAAAATACTTAAAATGCATATTGTACCCATGTTCTATTCCATATTTCAACCTAAATATGTAACTAGTAAATAAATTAAACACAACAAAAAACAATCATAACATAAACCAATAGGTATGAACAACCATACCCATATAACCATTCCATATTTCAACCTAAATATGCAACTAGTAAATAAATTAAACACAACAAAAAAAACAATCATAACATAAACTAATAGGTATGGATAACCATACCCTTAGGACCAACAGTTTGTACAGAAAAATAAAATAAAATAAAAAAAAATGCACAAAATAATGTCTTGCAAATATCAAAGCTTTCAATAATTAAATATATACTCTCAGCAAAAGATCTCTATCAGCCCAAAAAGTTTTGACAAAATAATAATACTAATAATAATAAAACAAAAAAAAAACTTCAAATTGCATTTTGTGTCTTATGTAATTTGTGTTGTGGGTAGGGCTGCAAACGAGCCGAGTCGAGTCAATAATTTGCCTTATCGAGCAGGATTGATTATTTTTTTAGCTGCTCAAACTTGAGCTTGAGCTCGTCAAACTCGATTTATGAGGCTCGAGCTTGACTCGATAAAAGAGTACAATCGCTCGAGCTCGAATCGAAATTAAAATGCTCGAGCTTGGCTCGAGTTCGGCTCAAAAATTTTAAGTGGAAAAATAAAATTATCATTAAGCACATATGTTATACTATTATAATATATATAAAGGGTATTTTAGTAATTAAACATATATCTCGTGCCGCTCGGCAATGCAAAATATGGGCTCGAACTCGATTCGAGTTTGGTCAAATTCGAGCACGAGTCGAGCTTTGACTCACGAGTCGCTCGATTCGTTTGCAGCCCTAGTTGTGTGGCAAATATGAACAATTTTTTTTTCGTTTGGCAAAACAATATAGTAACTTGTTAAAATATAAAATTTGTGCCCAATTTTACCTACAAGTTACCGAATTTAATCGGTAAGTTGTTGACTCAACCCGATTTATCCGACGTGGATGTGCATGTGTCATAGAAGACCGGATTTTGACCAGAATTTCTAGATCTAAAAACTTTGACCGGAGCAATTAACGGCCTTACCGGTAATTTTCGTCGAAAAAATAGGAAGTGAATGAGGACGAGAAGAGGGTCAAGATGATGTAAAAAAAATTTAGATCGGCGGTGGTCAACCGACGGGCGAGCGCGGTTGTATTTGTCAAAAAAATGGGTCACATAAAAGGTCGCCAGTTGCGGAGAAGGTGGACGTCTTCGAGTGCCCAATGGTGCGAGGAGTTCGGAGGTGTCCCCGAATTTCAGTGGGTCGCCGTGAATCGCCTGAAAGTTGAAAAGGAAGACCGAATTTTGGTCGAAATTTCTAAATTTAAAAACTTTTACCAGAGCCACTGCCAACCTTACCAATGGAATTTTTCCAAAAAAATTTAGAGGTGAACGAGGTCGAGAAAAGATTCAAGATGATGTAAAACAAATTCCGATCGGAGGTGGTTGACCGCCGGCAAGCGCGGTTGTATTTGCCGGTAAAAATTGATTGCCGAAAATGGTCGCCGGTTCTGGAGAAGGTGGACGTCTTTAGCTGCGCGGCGGCACGAGGAGTCCAAAGGTGTCCTCAAATCTCAGTGTTCGCAATGAATCACTGTGAAATTGGAGAAGAATACCGAATTTTGACCGTTATTATTATTGTAGTAGTAGTTGTTGTTGTTATTATTATTATTATTATTATTTATTTTTTAAATTGGTATATGTGTCTACTTTGCAAAAGAAGAAAAAATTATTTTGCAAATTTTGTTTAAGGTGATTATTTATTTATTTATTTTTATTCTAATATATTCTGCCGGTCTGGCGGACTTTTAAGATACATGTGCATCCATATAGGATAAATCGGGATGAGTGAACACCTACCGGTGAAATTCAGTATCTTGTAGGTAAATTGGGCACGAATTCTAGATTTTAATAAGTTACTGTCTTGTTTTGCTGCCAAAAGAAAAAGAAGTTCTGCTGGTTTTGGACACATGTGCATTCACGTAAGATAAACCAAAAATGGGTCAGCACCTACCGATAAAATTCGATAACTTGTAAGTAAATTGAGCACGAATTTCTGATTTTAACAAGTTATTATCCTATTTGACCAAACAAAAAAGAAGTTGTTCACATTTTGTCCGCCAACACAAATTACAAGGCATAAAATGCAAATTTGCCTTGCATTTTTTACATTAAAAAAATGGTCCACCCACCCCAAGTCAACATCTCCAAATCCATATCATGGGTAATGCATGAAAATTGCTTCTAATTAAGAAGCAACAAAGTCCCCCAAAAATTACCTATATCTTCTTCACCATAAACTCTATATACTCATAAGGAATATCAAATAAAACAATTAAAAAAAGGAAGCTAGATGTTTTAGTTGAGCTAAATCTTTTCTTTTCCTTTTTCACTTTTCCA